ATGATTACAAAACACATTTGAGTGACTAATTGATTTATTTAAGTGTGTAGTTAAATTGTCAATATACTGCAAAGTAAGCAAAATGAGGTTGCATTAAAAAGGGCTCAAAGGGTAAAAATATGCAGAGAGCCGGCTTAAGAAAATTGCAACTGGCTCTGGGAAGCAAAAATGCAGAGAGTCGGCTTCAGATTTTGTTGAGTCGGCTCTATAGGCCAGAAATTCAACTAGTGTTTTGGCATGCGCGGAAAATGGAAGCAGAGTCAACTCCCACTTTGTAGCCGGCTATGAGGGCCCATTTAATGCACAACGGTTGACTTATTTGAAGAATATTTAATGTATTTAAAGTCGGAGTTCCAAAGCCAACTCAAAGTTTTGCAGTCAGCTCTCGAGAAAAACAGAATGGGTTGCAAACCTGGATAGTCGGCTCTGGAAGTGTAAGCCGGCTTTACAGAGCTGGCTCTAGAAGTGTAAGCCGACTTTACAGAGCTGGCTTTAAAAGCTTAAGCCGGCTATACAAACAGTTATGCAACTCGAGCCATGCATCCTGCAGAGCTTTTAATGACTCTCAACGGCTAGAAACAGCTATTTTCGAGCAATGGGCTATAAATATGGTTGGTAACAGATATGAACAAGTTTAGAAAGCATTGTATTGAATATCTTTACCTACCAACTTGTGCTTTAACTTGAGATTTTGATCTTTGAGAGATCTTTATTTGTAATCCTCTTCTTGTTTTATTTGTGAGTAATCTTGGGGGTGTGACTATTTGTCACGTCCCAAAACCCAATTTCGAGACGCGACAGACGCCGTGCACTCGTGAGACGGGTCCCATAAATGCACAAGGCTCGGAACTTATCACACCACAATCTGATACCATCAAAATCCGAAGATCAAATTATAAAATCTATGTTCAATTATATTATGGCTAGCCTTCTAACTCGTCACTTCCCGTGGTTTCCTCGTCCTCGGATTCACTTCCTGAAATGGTGGACAAGGAAAAACTATGAGATAAACTCAGTAAGTAAAATATGGAGTGCCCATTATTAAAATTATAGCATGCCAACATGTGCAATCACGCAAAACGGATACAGTACGGAAACGAAATAGACGTCTCCTCTATAGGTCATGGCCAGCGTCTAACACCCACTGGCAGGCGCACTGTTTGCTGGTGTATAATCCCCACAAGCAGGGTCACTATTTGCTGGTGCATAATCCCCACAAGCAGGGTCACTGTTTGTTGGTGTATAACCCCCACAAGCAGGGTCACTGTTTGCTGGAGTATAACCCCCACAAGCAGGGTCACTGACGAACCAGTTCTATCAATAACATGTCGACAGGTGCTAGTGTTTATAACCTCCCCCACTAGTAGGGTCACGAATAACATATCGACATGTGCCGACATGTACTAGTGTTTATAACCTCCCCCACTAGCAGGGTCACGAATAACATATCGACATGTG